TAACTGGAATTTAAAAAGTTTAAAATGGTGGTGAAACAAAATGGTCAACCTTTATTTCTTTTTTAAAGTTCGTTTTGAAATAAACTACTCTTGATTTAAAGTAACACAAAGACGACAGTGTAATGTAGTAGTTGTAATTTAAACTATGTAGTACAAGTAATGCTTGGAGACGGCTTGAATGGGTAGTGAAGAAAAACTTTAATATAAGATTAACATAACAGCAAAGGTACAAAGTTGTAGCTGATGATGACAAAACCTTGTCCATTTGCTGTTATGTTAGTTAAACTTGTATTACTTTTTCTTCGTTACCCATTCAAGCTGTCTCCAAGCATTATTAGTCTCAAAGTGGGTTCCTCGTCATCGAATGTAGTACAAGTGTTAACATGTATGTAGAACTGTACAGATTGAAAGTACCTTAACTGGGTTTATTATTTTATCCATCTTCAGTTGTTTGTGCACAATCATATCTCATAACATTATTTACGGGGATGAGGCTACTGTATCAGCATACAAAATTTATAAATTTTAGTTAAATTGCAGGTGACTTTAAACCTCCCCTGTTTCAGGTTAAAGTAAAATTTCCATGATTATGTTTAAATCAATACGAGAAGTGCTTTAAAGAAGTGTTTTTACAGGGCACTTAAAAGTTAACTCGTCACATAGCACTAGAGTATCTTCAGACTTATTACTTCATTTAAAACCCGCGTTTTTTTCCTCGTTTATCGTGAAGCTTTATTCAGTGCTGTTAGGTTTGCTATACAAATGTATATTTAAATAATTTAAAAACTGGTAAGACCTTGTTGGACATAGTTTAATATAATGGTTAATGAATGAGAAATAGTGCTATTAATTTTTATTTTATCCGAACTGGTTGGCTATACGTCATATAGTGTGTACTATCAGTTGGACAATTGGTAAGTACGTTTACATGGACACTGTTGCACAAACTTTTAAATTAGCATCTTTGTATTGAAATGATAATACTTCGTCTACGTGGTACAACATTGGTATAAGACGTTGTAATAAATGGTGTATATGTTCGGTGCTAGTTTTTTCAAGGGTTTATTGGACACAACTGCTTCCTGTACCTAACTTACATGACTGTATAGTACGATGTTCGTAAAATCAAAATTGTAGATATGATATAAGTATTAGTGTGTAAGTCTAAACGTTTATCTTTGTTATTCCATGTATAACTTTTTAAGTATTGTCTCTCAGCTATCCACTACCATAAACCAATCATACTGTGAAATTATCTTTAAACTTCGTAACCTGAATATAAACATCATCAAAAGGAGAAACGATATTTCCTTCTTCAGACAGTGCCGCTCTGAAAAGCTAATTCCTAAATTTGTGAAAAGGTACCTTATGATGACAAAACCTTGTACATTTGCTGTTGTATTAAAGTTTTTCTTCATCACCCATTCAAGCCGTCTCCAGCCAAGTATTAGTTATGTTTTGGGTTATCTTCTTTGATTCTTGATGATGATAATAATAATAATAAAATATAAAAAAAATGACAAACTTGTTATATTGCTTATCGCGATCGTTTGTCACCAAACTTAATGACGTTGAGCTCTTAATTAAAATACGTTGTTTTGTTTTTGTGTGTTAAAGCATTTTATAGATACAGCTCAAAATAACCGATTTAGAATGTTGTGAAAAGCTTTACGAATGTTCTCTATTTGTTTTAATATAAATCGCCAAATTCTTCAGAAACTTATCGCATATCAGAATGTGTTTGTTTTTTCCTGGCCTTCATTATTAAAACTGTTATCGCTAAGTGTTACTTTTGTATTTATATCGGATCTGTAAAACCGCCAAAAGTTGAATGTGGCATGGCGCCCATCGTAGCGAGGAAGACGGCATCTTTGTACCCCCTCCCCCGTCTCTCTCTGCTACCGATTGTAGTTTTGAACCAATCAACGAGTAATAGAAGTAACCGGCTTTTTCTTGATTGGCTAATGAAATTCCTACCATCCGCTTGTTTAGGGGCATGGCGACGTTAGGCTATCTTGTGATTTTGAAAGACCTAGCTTTGATAGCATGCTATGGTACAATACACCTCCATACCATTAGTTTATCTCAAGCTACGAGTAATCTCGTTTCTTCTTTGTTCTGTACAGTTTTTCTGTTAAAATAGGCCGTACTCAGTGTTATGTTTTTAGTCTCGTACAACTAAATTGTTCAAGCGTTTTATACATAAAAATAAGAATAAACAATGGAAAACGGATTCAGTTTCGACCAACCTGATTACCCAGTAGAAACGGGTAAGTTAACTTCTTTTGTATTGAATTTTACTGTTTTTCTACCTACATATTTTACCAAAAGTTTTCTTGTGTATCCGCTAGGTTACAGCTTCATGGGATCCCAATTGTTAATGGAGGCTCCCTTTCCTCAAGGTCGGAGGTAAGTCCTGGTTTTCTTTAAGGTGTTAACGATAATATGGAACTTCATAATACGATGTTTTATACCATGTTATTTGTACTTCATTGGAAGGTTTAAATGCATACTTGGGTTTAACATTATTAAACTATTAAGAAATGTCTTGAGTTAACGAGTTTGTAAAACTCTGTGCGAGTACATTTCACTCCTCACCAGTCTTCCAAACGTCTTTACTTGAGATACTGTACAACTTACGATACAAACCACCTAACGGCTGAATATGTTAGTAGAAAGAGTATTATTTCACAATAATTAGACTGCGTATGTGGATTATTTAGTCTTCTGTAGCTACAGAATCGTAAACTTGTCTACTTTTTTAGACTTTATGTAATGGTTTGGTGTGTAAACTCATTTACCTTTATGGATAAAAATGTACGTGTCGATCGGATAGTCTTGTATTAATGGAAATGTGTTGTATATTTTTCTTTAAGTTATATTTACGATAAAACAAATGAACCGCTAGTCAAATTGTGGTAAGTGTGTTTGTGTAATTGATTAAATACGTTTGATCTTTCTCTCTCTCTCTCCTCCACCCCTCCCACCTCCGAGTTTCTCAAGATATTCAAAACTAGAGATTAATAGTTTTCTCAACCTTGAAGTGTATTATAGTATTAAATTATTTCGATTGGATTGCGGTAAGCTGAGTTACAGCATTATTTAAAAAAAAACGTACCAGATTTTGCGAAATATGTAAAACGTTCAATTTGTTACTTTCGTTGTGAAAGTTTAATTCCGCAGAATATTTAATATAAATTGATACCAGTTTGGAGACAAAAAATATATAATCTAGCGATGAAAAATGAGGTGCAATAAAGGCTCAAATTAATTTTTTATTGGTTTCAGTAATATAAACATGGAGTCTGTAAAACTACATTTAACTAAGATCAGAAATGAGCTGATTTCGTTAACTAACAGTGGTTGGTTTAATTTAAATATGCTTAATACGAGTTTTGATTTTGGAAGCAGGTAAAAAAAATATTTTAATCACTTGTAATATCCAGTTTTCTTTCATGTAATGTAATTTTTTTAGGCGCGTAATAGCGACCCGTAGAATGGCAGTTTTTTTTTAAGTACAAAATTTAGCTTGTAGCTCCGTCATCTCTTGACCGATTTAAGATCTCATTATAATTTTGGACTCAGGAAGTCAAACTCTTGTAAATTGGTGTATTTGACCACATCAAAGGTTTTATAGATTAATTTACTCCAATCCTTCCTAAAAGAATTTTAAGTGCTGCGGTTATTTAGGATTCCTTGTTTTGCATAGTAAACGCACACTTGTTTTTGGTTTATTCTGAAAGGTAAATGAAATTAAACATTGTTACGAAATCTTAAGTTTCAATCGATATTACTACTGTTCTATAATGTATTAAAGGACTTTTTTCTTTTCACTGTTCTTTCACACAAGTACAACTTAAATAGTTATACTATTACAGAATGAAATAATCAGGCTATAATTATAAAATCACATTTTTACTGAATTTACTGCAAATCGTCAACAGATGTTCAAGAAAACTCGTTTTTAAACTATTCGTTGAAACGCAGTGCAAAAATGAATTTTAGATTTTCAAATATTTCGTAGGATACTGCCAGGGGTAGCGGAACTTCTGTATTTTGAGCAGTTTTGTATTTTAACAGTAATTTGTATAAATACTACGATTCTTATAACCTATTGCCAACTGCGAGAATTTTTAGTTAACATGCAGGCCTTACTTCGGTCACAGAATTTAAGTTAATCATATAGCCCAGAATTGGTGAATATTACGTCAGCACATGTACTTTCTGAATTATCATAAACAGTACTTTGGTTATCGTCGGTGTTTCAAAACTTAGTCGTAGAAAATCAACCTTGTGTGAGAAGTCTGATTTAAGGTTCGATAGTCGCTAGATGTATGTAACGATTTAGTCTTTGTGTGTGTGTGTATAATTGATATAAAGGTATGTCTGTTTTCATGTATGATGAAGTTGGCGAAATTCTTTGTCATACGCCATGATTCTGCCCTTGAATCGTGTGGTTTTTGCAACAAGCCGGATACGTCACTTAAAGGCCGGAAACCACTAGTAAAAGGGGTGGGGAATCTTGACGTCTATGTAATTGTGGTAAGAAGGGCAGACCCCATCTTCGTGGCCTTGAGTTATTTAAAGTAAAAGGATAGGGTTAGTTATGAGTAGTTGCTGTAATGATACATCTTTCCATTATGATGACCACCAACACCATGCATATCGTGAAGTGGCTAAAGATTTGTTGATTAAAAAAAAAAGCTCATTACGACTAGGAATTCTTAGTGTTGATGATGTTGTTAATGTTATATACGATTTGCGGACAGGTTGAGTTTTTTTGTTTTTGTTGTTGTCGTCGAGACAAAGGTTTAAGAATGTTGTCAAAAGTAGAAAATATTAGATAAAAAAAATAACTGATAAACATTTAACTATTGAGTATTTGAACTGGATCAGGTTTTTAAAAGAGTAACACCCACACACTTCTGTAATTCATACTTGTAAAATGTCTTTTATTGAGTTCGGAATTCGTCCGTTAAGTTTGTTGAGTTGCAACAAAACTCTCGTACGTAACGTACAAGAGTAGATAACAGGCAAGATGAATATACCTGCGTTATACTCCACAAACAACGAGAACCAACGTTGTAACAGAACGTTTTGAAGTAAATAAAAGTTCAGTTTTCGTTCGTTGACGGTAAAATGTTGTTTGAAACTAACTTTTTGAGTTTAAATGTATATGGACACGTTAAAAGTTACAAGAGTAAAAAAAACAAACTTTTATATTTTTTGACTCAATGAAAGGTAAAATACTTGATAATTACAGACGACTAGTTTCAGTAACAGTTACTAGCTCTGATTATGGTAACTCTTACTGAAATTAGTCGGCTGTAACCAAAAGATTTTACCTTTCATTTTGCCAAAAGACGTATTTTGTGTTTCTTACTCTGAATGTAGTAGAACAATGTGTATAGAAAAAGAACTTGCATTAAAAATGCTTTGCTATTTGAGAAGTCATGTGACATCAAGTACGTTTAAACAGTTCGTGAAGTGATTGGCTAATATTATGGTAAATTTTCATCAGAGTGAGAAGGTAAATATGCAGTTTAAATGGTATTGCTTGCACATGATAGTACATGTGAAAATTTCTTTTATTGTGGAAGGTTTTTTTTTGCGTATTGCATTTTCTTTGAAAGTGTGCAGACGAAAAATCATGTTTCCAGAAATAGACAATATCAGTTGTATCGACGTTGAACTTTTCAGTGAGTTATCTCTTCTGACGGTGTTTCAATCGAAGTTCTTGATCCACCAATTTCTTTGGACAAGTCCTGTAAGTTGAAGAATTTTGTAGATTTCGATTGGATAATTTAAAATGGAGGAACTTAGGAATGACGTGTCGGAGCTTGCATTCAGTAAGGAAGCAAATATCGAGATTAACTTTCTTAATTGGCTAAAGTTGGACCTAATGGGGAGCCCATCGCAACTTTAGCCAATGCATTTCTCTCTCATTACGAACCGAAATGGCTTGACACCTGTCCACTTAACTTTAGGCCTGTTCTGTACAGAAGGTATGTGGATGATACTTTTATTCTTTTCAATAACAGTGATCAATGCTGAAAATTTTTAGAATACCTTAACTCACAACATCCTGCCATTAAATTTACATGTGACGTTGAAAATAATAATAATTTACCGTTTTTAGATATGCTCATTAACCGTAATACTAATGGATTTTCCACATCAATTTACCGAAAAATGACGTCCACTGGTCTCCTTACACACTTTGATAGCTTTATCCTGCTTACGTATAAACGAAACCTTGTTACATGATTACTAAACAGAGCTTACAACCTGTGCTCCACGTATCTTAATCTACACTCTGAAATTTCTTTCTTACATGACATCCTGAAACGTAACTGCTATCCACAACACTTATTAGAAAACATTACCAACACCTTCTTAACAAAAACTCACAAATCCAATTTAAGAAAGCAACTGTACCTAAATTTACTATATACTCGTGTGTTCCTTATACTGGCAAACAAATCTTAAATTTAAAAAATCAACTTAAACGCATACTTGGTCGTTACTACCCTCAAGTTGATTTAAGATTAGTTTTTAAATCCACATCACGCATAAAAAATTTCTTCCCTACTAAAGATCTCCCCATTCCTTATTGTTCTTGGCTTGTCTATCTTTACATGTGTGGAGACTGTAAAGCCTCC